GCATTCCAGCCTGGACAACAGTGAGACTCTGTCTCAAAAGAAAATATACAGGCTGGGTGCAGTGGCTCACGCCTGTAATCCCAGCACTTTGGGAGGCCGAGGTAGGCGGATCATGAGGTCAGGCGATCAAGACCATCCTGGCTAACACGGTGAAACCCCATCTCTACTAAAAATATAAAAAATTAGCCAGGTATGGTGGCACGTGCCTGTAATCCCAGCTACTCAGGAGGCTGAGGCAGGAGAAATACTTGAACCCGGGAGGCAGAGGTTGCAGTGAGCCGAGATTGCGCCACTGCACTCCAGCCTGGGCAACAGAGCGAGACTCCATCTCAAAAAAGAAAAAAAGAAAAAATACATACATATATACACACACACACATATTTAAGTACCATATATATATTTAAGTACTATACATATAGTGCTCAAAAATATAAGGTTCACTGATACACGGTGGCAAAGCTTCCCCGTTTGCCAAGTGTGCTTTGTAATAGGATATTTGAATGTTATTATGTAATTGTAGTACATTCTGACCTGTGTTCATCTAGAGCTATATCACTGTCATATAATAAAAGCTTCTAGTTTGTATCACTTTTATATCATTAAAATATATAACTTGATTCTTTCCCAAATGTTAAAACAAGAGACTTTTACAGGGTCACTGCATTGGCCTCCACAGTTGTAACTGGTAAAGTGGTTATCAACTCTGAAGTAGCTATTAAATTATCGAAGCAAGACAATAGCCACAATTTCATCTGTGCTGAGCAGCAAACCCTGAGTTTCATTAGAAGAGGCAACTATTGATTCATAAACAATAGCAATTTTCTCTAATAAAAAGGCATCTGGTGGCCCACGGGGACCACTTTTAGTCCCAATAATGAGTTCAGTTGCTGTCACAATACTTTATGACAATTTGGGCTTAATTTTAACTGCTTTGTTAGCCTATTGTGCAGCATGTACAAATCCACATCTAGTTAATGCCATCAATTTGTTTATTGGTCTCGGTTTTCTTTCTTCTGTTTTCCCTGTGTTATTTTGGGGTACCACTACTCACTAGTCAGCCAAACTAGAAAACAGGGGGTCATTCTTACTCTTCAATACACACTCCAAATGTGTCTCCTCTGTGCCTGGCTTAGTTCAGGCCCCATCTCTACTGCCCTGGATCACTTCAACAGTTGCCTGCTGGGCCCCAGACTCCTCGCTTTTCTTAAGCCCATTCTCCACACAGTCAGGTGTCTTCCATTTAAACTCAACACCAACCAGTGTTTGCCCATTTAAAACCTTTCAGAGGGCCAGGCATGGTGGCTCACGCATGTAATTCCAGTATTTTGGGAGCCTGAGTTAGGATTGCTTGAGCCCAGGAGTTCCAGACCAGCCTGGGCAACATGGTGAGACCCCATCTCCTGTAGTCCCAGCTACTCTGGAGGCTCAAGTGAGAGCATCACCTGAGTCCAGGGAGGTCAAGGTTGTAGTGAGCCACGATTGAGCCCCTGCACTCCAGCCTGGGTGACACAGTGAGACTCTGCCTCAACAAAATAAAATAAATACATAAATAAATAAGACTATAAAACTATTGCCTACAGAGTAAAGTTCCAGCCTCACGTCCCAGCTCACCCTCTTAGTCATGACTCCCCAGCAATGTGGAACTTGTATTTTTGCTATGCACTGTGCTATTGGCTGTTTCTCCCCTCCCAGCCTTTTGCTCAAGCTATGCCCTTTGCCCAAAATGCCCTCACCACCCACCCCAACCTCCAGCTCCCTGTCCCTTGTCTAGATCCTAGTCATTCTCTACAATGCGGTTCAAACATCGCTTCCTCAAGGAAACCCTGCCTCACCACATCATCAGCCCTCAGCTTCCGTCCCAGCCAATTAACCTTCCTCTCTGTTCCCATGAGTCTGGGAAATCAGGTATTTACTAAATGTATTACTACAATTATCATTACTCTTACTGCATTGTATTGTCATTCTCTGTTTATGTGTTTCTTTAGAATGTTAGCTCATTTAAAAAAAAATGTAGGAGGGAAAAAAGTCAACAACTTGATAGAAAAAGGGATAAGACTAGACAGTTCATAGTATATAATGCACATGGCCCTGACACACTTGAAAACACATTCAATCATACTAACAAGAACAGAAGTGTAACTTACTATGTTACTATTTCTTGCCTGTCATACTGAAAAAAATTAGAAAGTTTGACAACACAGTCTGTGGGTGAGGCCGTACAAAAATCAGCATTCTCAGGTATTGTGGATGAGAATACAAAATGGCATAACCACAATGGTGGCAGGGTTAGCAACACTGAACGAAATTACATATGTCTTTTTCCTTTGACCCAGCAACATCACTTCTAGGAATCTATCCCAAAGATGTCTGCAAAAAATATGAGAAGATGTATACAGAAAACTATACTTTGTAGCAATTTTTGTAATAGCAAAAAAATTGGAAACAGCCCAAATGACCACTAATAGCGGACTGGTTGAATAAACTGGTAAATGCATTTTGCAGCTGTACTGAGAGAGAGAGAGAGAGAGAGAGAGAGAGAGAGAGAGAGAGAAATATCTTTATGTAATGCTATGGAGTGATCTCTCCAGATGTATTGTTAAGAGAAAAAAGCAAGGTAAAAGTATGTTCAGTATGCTACCATTTCTTTAGGAAAGGGGAGGATATAGTCATATATATATATATATATATATATGTGTTTGTTTTTTGAGACAAGGTCTCACTCTGTCACCCAGGCTGGAGTGCAGTGGTATGATCACAGCTCACTGTAGTCTCAAACTCCTGAGCTCTCAAGTAATCCTCCCACCTCAGCCTCCCGAGTAGCTGGGACCATAGGCACAGACCACTGTGCCCAGCTAATTTTTGTAGAGATGGGGATCTTGCCATGTTGCCCAGACTAGTTTCAAACTCCTGGGTTCAAGCAATTCGCCCATCTCGACCTCCCAAAGTGCTGAGATTACAGGTGTAAGCCACTGTGCCAGGCCTTGTAGTTATATTTTTAAAAATGTTTCCTGAAAGAAAAAAGGAGGGAACAGCAGGAAGTAACAAGGATAAAAGCTAGACTTCTCTGAATATCCCTTAAGGATTTTACTTTGAAACTATATAAATATGTTACTTGTGAAATAAATTTTTAAATTTCTGAAAACTGAAACAACACAAAACAAATGAACCTAAATATGTCTTGAATTAGTGGAATAATTTTATGGAGAAGAGCTAACCTGGTTCTTCTCCCGTATTTTCCCTTCCCTGCAGCCTTTGCCATCAGAATGTCTGACCGTAAGCCTACGACATAGTAGAGTTTGTAACAGTCTCAAAGGCAAAGCAGAAGCCCGCATTTCCCCTGAAGGGTTAATGGGAAGTCCTCCAACAAAAGCCAAGATCTAATTTATTTTCTGCCTTGTTTACCAAAGAATTACTTTCTTCATTTAGGTTCCTTCTTCCTTTCTCTTCTCAGCACCCTTAAAACCACAAGTGACGTGAGCAGGCTTCTCTCTTCTAGGAATGTTCAAAGTTGGGTGCCTTGGAAAATGGTAGTTTCAAAGACATAACTAGGAACTTTTCAAAGAAAGATACTTTCAGCTAGAGATAGAGAGCCCTTGACTATAGGAACTAGAATTAGTTAACAGCAGAAAGAGTAGGAAAGCTTCTGAAACTGTAGCGGGCCATAGGAAGGTAAAGAAGAATGTAATTCAGGTCAGGACCAAAGAAAAGGACACCAAAGATCAGTAACACAACAGCGACTGATTCTAGTTGCCCACAGTGGGGAAATATATTCAGTTTCTGGTTAGGAGGGTTGAGTGGTTAAAATGAGAAGCACTCTTGTATAATACATTTGTGCATATGTGCTTACGCTGTCTAGTTATCTCAGGTCAGTTTCTCTGGAAGTGGGGGGCAAGGTGGTTATTTGGGTTCAATACCTGTGAAAGGAAAGGAGAGGAAGCAGGACTGATCAGAGGAAGAAGAACTGTAAGGGCTCAACACAGCCTTGACCAACCTGGTGAGAAATGACTGGTCCTTATACCCCTACCTCATTCAGTCACCTGACATAGGCTCCCCTGGAAAAGGCTTGACCTCAGACAGAGGAGGCTGCTCTCTGCAGGCAAAGCAGACCCTGAAGGTGCTGACAGCTGGACACTGTCTGCTGACAGTCCTTCCTCCAGCTGGGTTATAAGCCCTTCCTTGAAGGGGAACCTACCTGAGTGGCGCATCTCTTTACCTACCATAAGCCTACTGTAAGCCTTTCCAGAGTTAATATAGTATTTTTCTTATAATTCTCAAAATATAAAAGGTATTATATTTACAGTAGAGAACTCCATATATTAGTGTTGAATACAAAATTACTGTTAGAATTTATCTCAATGGATTATCAGGTAGTCGATATATTTCTGTGTAAGCTAGAATTACTGATCATACACTTATTCATCCCACAAACATCTATTAACTATTTATTGCATACCAGTCTCTAGAAATTGAAATATAAATAAGTATACTTTTACCATAAACTCCTAGAAGTCAGATTCTAGTGGGGAGGTCGATAAAATAGACAAATAATTAAAGTGGTAAGTTAAAAAGATAGGTCTAAACACAGTGCTAAAGAGGTTAAAGGGACATGAAGAAGAAAGCACTTAGCTATGTCTACAGACATCCTCCTGGAAGAGCAGATGTGGGCCTTGGCTGTCAGAGGACAAGAAATATTTGCATTACAGGAAGAGCAAATTGTATGTATAAAGACTCAGAACAATGAAAAAGCATTGCACAGATTGAGAACCACAGATAAATTGACATGACCAAAGCACAGGCGGTGTTTAAGGAGGGACTGAAATATGAGACTGGAAATATATCTATATATACATCTGTGTGTAATTATCTCATTAATTTATTAATGTTATTTTTTACTGTATTTTATCTTGCCATGTTTGTCAAATATATTTAAACACAGTTTGTGGGGGCTTTTTGTTTTTTGCTATAACATATTTCTGCAAGACATTCTTTGTGAAATGTTGAAAGACAGTAGTGACCGAGCCTGCCGGATTATCTGGGACATAAGCTCGAACTGGATCTAGTACCTGTGAACAAGTGTATTCTGACTTGATATTGACAAATAAGGAAAAGTTATTACTGGATGCAAGTTCTGGGAAGGCTACAGCAGTATCTCTCTGCTCTTGGAGATTGGAATGCGGAACTCTGCTGGGAGGAACATTCTATCTCCCTGTCATAAAGAGTCGTTAGCAACCACCTGGTTCAGGTCACAGGCAGGGAGAGGAAGGACTGCAGAGTCTTTCATTCTTTCTGGTGCAGCTTAACTGATTTGAAGAAGCCGAAGAATAAAATCCAGTAGCACAGTTAAGACTTTAGCCATGGCATCTGTAACATACCAAAAGCCAACATCTACTACTGTGGGAAAACAAATGATTTTTACAGGTAAATCGTTTTTGTGTATGCGTTCACAAGGAGATCTAAATTTGCTTTTTCTCTCACATATATGATTTTATATAATGGATATAACAATGAAATGATCACATACGTTTTTGTTTGTTTGTTTCTTTTTTGGGTTTTGTTTTTTTTTTTTTTGAGCTAGAGTCTCGCTCTGTCTCCCAGGCTGGAGTGCAGTGGTGTGATCTCGGCTCACTGCAATCTCCGCCTCCTGGGTTCAAGAGATTCTCCAGCGTCAGCTTCCTGAGTAGCTGGGATGACAGGCAGCTGCCATCATGCCCAGCTAATTTTTGTATTTTTGTAAAGACGAGGGTTTCACCATGTTGGCCAGGCTGACCTTGAACTCCTGACCTCAGGTGATCTACCCGTCTTGGCCTCCCAAAATGCTGAGATTACAGGCGTGAGCCACCGTGCCTGGCCCGCCGATGTTTAATTGACGTGATACTGCTGTCTCATTATGCCCACTCAGTCTGATCATCAACATCTTGTCGCCATAAACACGTCTTTAACGCAGCACTTGTCACTACATCTGAGGTAACTTTCACAAAGGAATCTTTGAATTAGCATAGCTTTTATGGTTTGTGCCAGAGAAACTTCTTCGATGTAATAAAAAACATACTTTTCTTCAAATTTTTATTAACACTGATTTAAGCTTCTCATAATATTATAAAGTTAAAAATATTATAAACTTGACATATTTGCTTGATAAAAATTTGAGCAAGATACGCATTAAGCCTAGTAAAGTTATTGGTTTTCGTTTTGTTTGTTCAACTACTTTAAATGATTTGGGTAGTTTGTGTGAAATTACAATAAAATCTAAAAAGTAGAATATGACTAGTTGTGGTAAGTCTGTAAGACATAAACTAAACTTCATCTTATTTCCTTTTTTTCCAAATTATTTATTTTTTGAGACAGAGTCTCTCCCTGTTACCCAGGCTGGGGTGCAATGGCACGATCTTGGCTCTCTGCACCCTCCACCTCCCAGGTTCAAGTGATTCTCCTGCCTCAGCCTCCCGAGTAGCTAGGACTGCAGGCACATGCTGCCATGCCTGTTTGTTTGTTTATTTATTTATTTATTTTGTACTTTTAGTAGAAATGGAGTTTTACCATGTTGACTAGGCTGGTCTTGAACTCCTGACATCAAGTGATCCACCCGCCTGTGTTGGGATTACAGGCGAGAACCACCGTGCCTGGCCTTATTTATTTATTTATTTTTCCAAATTGTGAGCGTATTTTACAATGTTACAGAAAAATAATCAAATGCGTGTTTCTGGTGGGCATTTACGATTTGTGTTGCTCATTATCCATCTCATCCACTCCCCTTCTTGTGACTCACTGGCTCTGGGGAAACCATCTCTTTCCTCACTCTTACCCCTTTTTTACTCCTGTGAGAAGGACTTTGTCAACTAGAGTACCCTGCTTATCTGCAATTCCTTTTGCCTTTATTCTTACAAACTATTCATCTCCAAAGTTATTTAGGTCAGCACATTTTCTTTCTAGCCTCTTCAGTAAGGTTGTTTTATGCCCTTGTAATACAGTAAGATTTTCTTGTCACAGTCTGAATTCCTTCCTGAAATCCCACAATTTCCTAAATAATGTTTGTTTAATTTGCATCCATTAAGGTTTGCTTTTTATGCTATTAAGTATATGGGAGTCTTGACAAATTAATAGAACCATGTATTCACCATTATAGTACTATACATTATAGTTTCACCACTTAAAAAATCTCCTGTGCTTCACCTATTCATTCCCTCCTCCCCCTTTTCCCCTAGCTCCTGGCAACCACTGATCTTTTCACTGTCTCCACAGTTTTGCCTTTTCTTGAATGTCATAGAGCTGGAGTTATACGGTATGTAGTCTTTTCAGATTGGCTTCTTTTCCTTATCAATATCATTTTAAGGCTTCTCCACATCCTTTCATGGTTTGATAGCTTATTTCTTTTTACCACTGAATAATATTTCACTGTGCTGATGTGTCACAATTTGTTCATCCCTTCACCTATCGAAAGACATCTTGGTGGCTTCCAGTTTTTGACAATTGTGAGAAATGCTTCTGTATACATTTATGTGCAGCTTTTTGCATGGATATGTTTCCAAATCAACTGGATAAATACCTAGGAGAGTAATTGCTGGATCCTGTGTTAAGCCAAACTGTCTTCTAAACTAGCTATACTATTTTGCATTTCCATTAGCAATGAATGAGAGTCCTTGTTGCTTTGCATCCTTGTCAGCCTTTGGTATTGTCTGTTTTTTACTTTTTTACCAAAAAAAAAAGGTCATTTAGATTTTTATCCTGTGTTTTCTTTTAGACATTTTACAATGTTACATTTTCATTTAGGTCTATGATCTATCTTGATGAGATTTTTGTGCCTTTTTAAGTTTTAATTTTCATCAGCCAATAAATTTCCTCTTTTCCTTAGCCAGTTTGGGTTGGGTTTTCTGTCATTTGGAACTGTGCAAGAGTCTTCATTAATACTTAAAATTTCTTCTAACTTATGCCAGAGTATATACTTAGTTTTATGTATTTACGTAGTTCAAATTCTTGTCACCTTTGATAGATTTCTGTTTTTCATTATACTGACATATAATACTTAGCTTCATAGCCTCCTGTATTTTATAATTTCCTAATTTTTACTGTTACAAATTTGTATGAATACTTTGCATACATTATTTTTCTTGTTCTCTTATATTCTTGTGGTATATATAGAGAGAGCAGAATTAGCAGGTGAAAGATACAAACAGATATATAACTTATTAATGCCACAAGCTTTAGAGGATTGTGTATACTATGAACAATGTATATGTATTAAAGCCCAACAATTTTTTGTTTGTTTGTTTGTTTTTGAGACAGTCTCCTTCTGTTGCCCAGGCTGGAGGGCAGTGGTATGATCTCAGCTCACTGCAATCTCTCCCTCCAGGGTTCAAGTGATTCTCGTGCCTCAGCCTCCTAAGTAGCCGGAATTACAGATGTGAGCCACCATGCCCACTAATTTTTTGTATTTTTAGTAGAGATGGGGTGTCACCATGTTGGCCAGGCTGGTCTCGAACTCCTGACCTCCAGTGATCCGCCTGCCTCGGCCTCCCAAAGTGCTGGGATTACAGGCATGAGCCACCGCAACTGGCCCCCACCAATATTTTTTGAAATCGTTTTTATTTACTTTGAAGATGTAGATATGAATCCTTTTTTGCCTTTGCCTTTTACAAATTTTATTGCGACTATTTTAAAACACCCCAATGAACTCCCACTTACCTGTCACCCATATTCAACGTTTATCAAAATTTTGCCACATTTGACTCACATCTCTCCTGTCTTTTTCTTGTGCAATATATTTTAAGCTCAGATATCTCATTATTTCACTTACATATTTTATTGTGCATCTCAAAAAATATGAACTTGTTCTTACAGGGCCACATTGCCGTGACTGCACCTAACAAAATTAATAACTATCCTTTGGCATCATGTAATTAACAACTCCATAATAAAATTTTCCTGATTGTTTCTAAAATGTGTTTTTACACTTGATTTTGAGAATTAAGGATCCAACACACATTGCATTCAGTTGTGTTTTCTGTTTTTGTCTCTTTTAAACTGATGCAGTCTTCCCTTTTTTCCCTGACATTTACGTGTTGCAGAAACTGGATCAGTTATGGTGCAGAGATGTCCACATTCTGAATTTGTCAATTACTTCCTTCTCATATCATTTAACTTGTTCCTTTATTCTCTGTAAACTGAATTTGGCTCTACAGGCTTGATTATAGCCAAGTTCAACTCTTTAGGGATGCTTATGTCTTAAATGGTACTGCAATCAATTCACAGAAATCAAATTTTAAGCTGTTCAAGAATAATAATTTTAACTCCTATAAGGCCCATCACTTACTACCTTTCTAACCTACTGGGGCTTGGAGCTCTTTCCTCCATGTTTGGAACTGTTCTTAATATAAAGCCCATGTTTTCACGAAAACTAGTTTGAGCGAAGTACCCAGGCTAGGCAAACAAAAGATTGATTTAATCCATGCAAATATTGTGTAATTGTGATAAAAATTTGAAAAATATCTTGTCACTATTAATAATTAACATAAGACAATAAAATATCATGAGAAATCATTAAAAAATTATTTTGGATGTCGATAATGTAAAAAAAAAATAGAGAGAGGATGAGAAAATACTGAGGAATTTCGCAGCCATTCTGAGAGCTACTTTAAAGCACTTTTAAGAGTTTCATAGGATTTTTATTGATTTCTAATTTAATTTTAAAGTGAAATTTTGACTGGACGTGGTGGCTCACGCCCTGTAATCCCAGCACCTGGGAGGCTGAGGCAGGTGGATCACTTGAGGTCAGGGGTTTAAGACCAGCCTGACCAACATGGTGAAGCCCCATCTCTACTAAAAATACAAAAATTAGCTGGGAGTGGTGGCGCACCCCTGTAATCCCAGCTACTCAAGAGGTTGAGGCGTAAGAATTGCTTCAACTCAGAAGGTGGAGTTGCAGTGAGCCAAGATTGCACCATGGCACTCCAGCCTGGGCAACAGAGTGATACTCTGTCTCAAATAAATAAATAAATAAATAAATAAATAAATGAAATGTTGCTTTCTCTTGGCATAGGCATAACACTACTCTTTCTTTTTTTTTCCTTTGAGGGAGGGTTTCGCTCTGTCGCCCAGGCTAGAGTGCAGTGGCACGATTATGGCTTACTGCAGCCTTGGCCTCCCTGGGCTCAGGTGATCCTCCCACCTCAGCCTCCCGAGTGGCTGGGACTATAGGCGTGTGCCATCACTCCTGATTAATTTTTGTATTTTTGTGGAGATGGGGTTTCACCATATTTCACCATATTGCCCAGGCTGCTCTCGAACTCCTGGGCTCAAGGGATCTGCCCACTTCGGCCTCCCGAAGTGCTGGGATTGTAGTCATGAGCCCCTGCACCCAGCCAACACTATTCTTTTTTTTGTTTGTTTTTTACGAAAGTTTATTCTTAAATGTACAACAGCTC